CTATCACTAGCAGAACTGGAAAATGCAGATTCTGGTGGTATAGTGGACTGTCTGAAAAAAGAATTAAAAAAGCTTAAACTAAATATTAATAAACTTATCGGAATTGGTACAGACAACGCCAACGTCATGGTTGGTCGCAACAAAAGTGTCTACACGGAATTAAAGCGAGAAATTCCATCTCTAACTTTGGTCAAATGTGTCTGCCATTCTATCCAGTTGGCAATTAATCATGCTTCTAAAGAGTGCCTTCCTCACGGCCTTGAATTTCTAATTTATGAGACTTACAACTGGTTCAGTAAAAGTTCCAGTCGCAGATTACAATACAAACAGATTTTCCAGCTAATCAACGATGAAAATGTAAATATAAGCTAACATATGTTCATATACAAGTATTAGGAAAAATACAATGCAATTATATTATATACAGGCAGGTTCTGCAATTCAGTTCCGAGTGAATTTCAACCCCTGTCAATTTGACTTCAACGCTAATTTGATTGAAATTCACTCGGAAATGAATTGCAGAACCTGCCTGATTATCTTTTTTTTCAAGGCGCCGTTAAAAATTCCAAGAGTTAGCGACACACGATGGCTTTCAATTGAAGGGACCGTATCGCGAATACTACAGCAGTGGCTGGAGTTGAAGACACATTTTGGTATTACTAGCAATTCTGAAAAATGTCATAAGATGAACGAAATTATCTCTACCTTCTGTTTTTGAGGCCAATACTTGCCGAGTTACTTGCTCTTAATAATAGCTTTCAAAGTAACAATACTGACCCGACGAAATTACTTAAAGACTTTGCAGTTGTAATTAATTCTTTAAAAAGTAAAATCATTAGCCCAGATAATGATGTAGATGTAATCTCGATTGATTTTGAGCAATATATCAATAAAAGTTGCTATTTGGGATATAACTTCGAAAAGAAAATATTAGAGATGAAATCCTCCTCTGGGCTAACCGAGGAATCAGAAAAATATATAAGAACAATATGTACAAATTTTGTAGTAGTGCTTATCAACCAACTAAAACAAAGGTATAATAGTACCATGCACATATACATACGTATTAATATAAAATTATTTGAAAAATGTTATTATTGCAGGTTACCAGATAATTTCGATACGATTAAAAAAGTTAATATGTTTTCAGTGGGCAATGTTTTACGTGCATCGCATGAGGAGATAGAAGATGTTTTAAAACATTTTAATTACAGTGATGATATGATAGAAAAAATTATAATTCAGTATAATAGAATTAATTTTGTAAAATGGAATAATATAAGCAATACAATGCAATTTTGGGCAGAAGTTCAAACTTATACGGATGCAGGTGGTAACAAATTGTTTTCCGATTTGGCGGAATTTGCACTTCATTTACTTTCACTACCTTGGTCTAATGCAGACGTGGAACGATTATTCAGTCAGCTAAACTTGGTGAAAACAAAGCTACGCAACAGTATACACTTAATTACTATAAATGCTATATTAAGTATAAGGTACAATTTTTATAAACAACTCGTGTAGAAGTTTTATATTAAATAACATAAATTTCCAGATACGGTCTTAAAAGGCATAATAAGTGCTGCACAGACTATGAAATTCCAAGAAGTTATTTAAAGATGATTGGAACAAATAAGGCATACGAAAACCAGAGTATCGATTATAATAATCAGTCCGATGATAATTTATATAAAATTATAAATGAGTTGTAACCTGCCTAACTTTTGTGAAAACTGAAAGTTTAGTTAAAAAATAACGTTCGACTGAAATTTTCATACATAAGTTATATTAACTTTTTAACCGACTTCGAAACCTCCATCAATTCGTTGCAATATATTTTTGTTATGTACATATGTCACCGCATAACTTTGGACCACGTTAACCGATTTCTATAATTATTTTTTTAAAGAAAAGGCGGTAACTCATATGTGGTCCCATACTTATTTGGTTTACATCCGATCATTGGATCATGAAGAAAATAACGGTACACTTAAATTTTTATATGAGAATTGAATTTTATTTTTTGCTTAAACATAACTTGTATTCTGAATTATTCGATTTCAAATTTTAATTTCAAGTAATGTTTCCAATGATTTGCTTAAAATTAAATTAATAAGAACCTATTTATTCTTCGGCTTTTGTTTTGTGGAATTTAGCTTTTTC